TTGGAATGCAGCAGCAGGATTTGAATCAACAGGCGCAGGCTTCGAGGCTTTTGGAACCATGCCCTTTGGATCCTGCTGTTCCGCCTAGCCCTGCAATCCCCTCGGGTTTTTCAGCAGCGTTTTTAGCACATTTGGAATCTGTGAGCAAGCCCGACGCGGCAGTATCGGTCTCGGCCTCTTCTGATGCTGCTTTTGAGTCTCCTGAGAAACCGGGCTCGGCTGAATCTTCGTTGCGTTCCTGGCAGCCTGTCAGTGCCGACACAACACCTCCGGCAGTATGTGTTGTCAAGCGGTTTCGTGCTTCTTCGGTTGCCATGCATGCGCGCGTTGATCAGGCCCGGCCTTTGCTTCAGGCTTGCCCTAAGGTGATCGCGGTCCCCTACTCAGCCGGTGAGCAAGAGGGATCTCAGCGTCTTGCAGCTTCCGCCGGATCGTGTGGATCATAGGCATAGGCTGGGTTTGGGAGCTAGGCTTTCCCTAGGCCCTTTCAACCCTTTGCCTGCCCCCGCCTTGTCCCCTAGGACTAACTCTAGGCTCCTTTCGCCACCTCCTCAAGCTTGCATTGGCCCTGCACTGCCTAAGCCCAAGCATCGTGCTGCCTTTTATGCCAAGCACCATCGTGCTCCTTCCAGGAATCTGCCGGTTCCGGCTGTGGTTATGCCCTCCTGCAAGCCTTCTGGGGTGTCATCTGCTGCAGGCTTGACTTCACCTGTGGGGGCTCAGGCCTTCGGTCAGTCATTCAAGCAGGTTCCAGCTGCATCTGGCTTGGGCCTCAAGCTGCAGCAATCTGTGCATAACCGTCAATTTGAGGAGGCTATGCAGGTCTGGCAAGCGGCGAAACCGCTGCTGCTGCCTTTTTCTGTGGTGTTGCAGGATTTGGAGCTCAGTTCACATGCCGGCGAACTTGAGGTTGGACTGTTGCGTACAGTCTCGGAAGTCACAGCCCTCCGTTACCTCAGGATTTTGCATAAGTTTTTGCAGCAGCTTGATGAGTTGTGGCAACTGAGTTGGGACATGGCGTCGCAAGCAGTGGTGGTAGATTGCATCCTTTCCTTGCGCAGGGATCATGCAGATTGTCATCAGGTGAATACCATCAAGGCCTTGCGCTGGGCTGCAAAACTTTTCCGTCTCCGTGTGGAGGATATCTACGAGGGGCTTTTTCGCACCCTCGTCTCGGTGCCAGCCTCAGGGAAGCTGCGCCGGGAATCGTATCCTTTGCCTTGGAGGTTGGTCAGCTACCTGGAACATGCGCTTATTTTCCGGACTCTGCCAGTACCGGCGCTACTTCTTGCTGGGGCTGCTTTGGCTTGCGTCTACGGCTCTTTGCGCTGGTCAGACTCACAGCATCTCCGCTGGGAGTCCATGATGTTCTCATCATCTTGTTTGCGCGCCCTGGTGTTCAGGACAAAGACCTCGCGCGCTGGTATGCCAGTGGCCTTCCGCATTTTCGGCGTGTTAGGTTTGGGCTCACATGTTCGCCAAACTTGGCTTGCGCATTATCTTGAAATCCTTGCTGGGGTCTGGCAGGAGATGCGTGCTGCATTTGGGCAGGCTGTTTGTCCTGACTGCTTGTGGTTCACTTGGCATAAGGCAGATGGCGCTTTTTCCCCCTTGTCATATGCTCAGAGCCTTCGTTTCCTTCGGGAGGCAGCAGTAGTTTCTGGGTTGACAAGTGGCATGCTGCAAGCACAATCCCTGACCCTTCACTCCTTGAAAGTTTGCCTGCTCTCAACTATGCTCGTGCTGAACATCGATCGCGCTTCGCGGTGCGCGCAAGGCCACCGCCGCGGCTCTGCTGCGGAGTTGTATAGCAGGGACGATGTCTGGAGCGCGCTTCAGGCTCAGGAGGTTGTGCTCTCCAAGCTGCAGGCAGGCTGGCTGCCTCTTACTCCTATGGGCAGGGGGGGGCAGTCACCGATCCAGCAGCTGCCATTGCTGGCAGTCCGGGAGGAGAAGCCTCATGCTGTTTTGAGTGAGGTTTTCCCGCTGCTTCCTGATTTCAGTGCGGCGGATCTGGGACCGCCTTCTTGCTCTGCAGAAGATGAGGACAATCAGCACGGGCCCAAGGCTGATGCTGTTACGACCGCGCCCCAGCTCCACCTGCTTCAGAGTCAAGCAAAGCTTCCGGCGCAAGATTTTGACTCTTCCTCCTCTGATGGCGAATTCGTCGACGTAGAGTCGTTGGGCTGTGCTGAAGAGGTTGTTTTCCTTCAAGCAAAATCGGGGTGTGTCATTTCGCATCTCCAGCTACGGTGGGTACGGGCTCGCGGCATGCGGAGCTTTGGCTTAAACCTGCGTGTGGCATGTTGTCGCCGGAGCTCACGGTTCTTCATTCCTTGCCGGCGGGTGCCCGCCTTTGCAGACACAAAGCGTGTCAGTTGCTTCTTAGCAGGTGCGCGTAGCACCTTGGATGCTAGCTGTATCTTCGAGCAGGGAATGTCACCACTGCTCACAGGTCTCGCAGCCTCTCCGAGTCATTTTTTGCGATAGCTCTGCAAGTAGCTGCTGTGACTTGGTGGAGTGTTTGAGCTGCTGGCCATCAGGAAAATAGTGGCTCTGCGCTGATTGGCTGTCTTTTCCTTGCGGCTTGAAGATTGCATGCAGCAATTCATGTCAGCAGAACATAGCGCTGCGGGGGGGTCCTCAGGCACTGGCCCCTGTAAAATTGGCTAGCGATTTCGGCATGCGGCTGTATTGCCTGGCGCTTCTGAGACCATTTTCGGCTGTGCAGTCCATACCATTGCGCGGTGGGATTAGCCTGAGAGCTATGGCTGCTGCCTTGTCTGCCACAGCATGGCAAGGCCGCCGCAAAAAAAAAAGAAGCAAGATTTGGCGCAGTATTGCGGACTGCAGTCCTATGGTGGGTGCGGCCCCGGCTTCACCTACGTGCCGGCGTGGGCGCTTTAGCTCACCTGTGCATTTCTACTCGCGTGGCACAGCGGGGTACCGGTGGCATAATCGGCCCTCGTAGCAGGCTTCGTGCACAGTGCAGGGTACCGGCCAGGGTTGCATTGGCTATCTTGCGGCTCTGGGGATCTCTCCTCAGGTCTGCGTTATCCTGGCGGTACAGTTTTGTTTGCATGCTTAGCGCCACTGCAGTTTGTAGCACAAGCTTAACATCTGTGGCACAGCGAGAATTGAGAATCAACTTATGCATTCTGCGCTTGTACCTTCCGCCGGGGACCAAGCTCTTGCGCTATTCACTTCACGCCCTGTTTTCCCGGCAGGCGATGGCTCTCTGGATGGGGGCGTGTCTGCCCCGACGATGGCAGAATTGCTTGCGGAGCACTCCATTCCCGAGGTGCTACATTATCATTTCGCCGAGTTCTCTCCGTCGGTCTTTGCCAACGTTTCCACTGACGCTGCTGGCTTAGACAGGTTCCTAGGGAGCCTCGTGGAGAATACGGGCCCGGAAATGTTCGCTGTAGAAGCTCGTGTGCGGATGTTATGGAAATCCTGTGTCGCGCAGTGCTCTGAAAGCAAGAAGGCGCCCGGGGATCAGGGTTCTATGGACGTGAAACCAGATTCTTGGAGTGACCCTTTTCCTGCAAAGCTGAGTGCAACTACTTGGAAGTCATTGCGTGACGATTTCCTTGCTTCCTACCCCTCCGAGCTGCTCAGCCCAGAGGACACACCGGGGGCGCGGATTATGGCCTTGGTGTACCGAGGTGTCTCCGACAAGTCTTTGAAGTGGCCTCAGTGGAAGCACAGGTTATCAGTTGCGCAGGAACAATCTCATCAGCTTTCCCGCCCTGCAAAGATGCCTCGGCTGGAAAGCCTTCTCTTCGACGACGTGCCAACCAAGGACGTTCCTTCAGTCTTGAACATTCTTAACATGCACGCCAACGCCTTGGCTTTGTGCAAGGCTGCTCATCTTTCTGTCTTGAAGCGGTATGTGCAGGCTTTCCTCAAGCTCTGTTTTCCGCAGCTTGAGCCTGGTTTCCGTGGCCCGTCAGTTCAAGCGGCAATTCAGGCGGATGAAAAGGCCTGGCAGGCGATCAACGAGCTTTACGCCCATCATGAATGGGAGCTGGGGGATGCAGTTGCTGAGATAATTGATGTTCGGAGTGTGCTGCATGTGTACCTTCAGCCTCGCCTGGCTGCTTCTTCCCCTGCTATTCCCGGGGTTCCTCAGCCGCATGGGGGTAATCCCAGGCGCCCCTTCAACGGCCCTTTCAATGGCCAGCGCGGTCGTGGTAGGGGCAAGGGTCTCATGGGCAAGGCTTTCGGCAAAGGGAAGCAAGCATCATCGGGCCGCATTGACACCGTGAAGGTTGCCGGCCAGGTTCTTACCATTTGCCGCGACTTCAATACCAAGGACGGCTGTAAGCGCACTGATTGCAAGTTTGCTCATGTGTGCAACGTGCCGCGGGCCGACGGCTTCGCTTGTGGTGGCAAGCACTCGGCTACGAATCATAGATCCACTCCGCATTGACTATCTACTGTTGATAGCATTGCCTTGGCTGCATCCCAGGCCGATCAGCCCTCAGGTGCTTCAGCTTCGTCATTGCCAGAAAGTGCGGAGCCTGATTATGCAGGCTGCCTTCAACATCTGGATGCACATCTTCAGTTTTCCAGACACAGCGTGCGCGCCTCTGTGGTAGGGGAGCGTGCAGGCTATTTTAACTTCGGACTTATGTTTGGTTCGGGCCAGGTGGGCCTCACCCGTTTAACGCATGCCTTCTTCGCAACATGTATCTTCTGAATCAGTTTCTGCGCCAATGCTTCCCTGAAGGGGAATGGACCTCCATTTGTGTGGCACGTTCCGTGCAAACCCGCATTCATTCTGACTCTGGTAATCTTGCAGGGTCCTACAATTTCTCAGTTTCCCTGGGAGGCTTCTCGGGGGGTCACCTCTGGTTGGAAGGTGACGGCTCAGTACCTTTGCAGGACAGCTCGGGCAGGGTGCGCTATGGTCACACTGTGTGCACTCGGCATTCACCCTTCAAATTTCGAGCGGATGTCCCGCATGCCACGATGCCTTGGACAGGTGGTGATCGATGGTCGGTCACGGCTTACTCGGTCCCTGGTGCTGAGGTTCTCTCCGATGCGTGCCATTCGGAGCTACTTCGCTTGGGCTTTCCGCTGTCAGGCTCTCAAGCAAGCGCATCAGTTCCGGAACCTGTGCTTTCTGCCTCAGAGTTGGGGGACTTACCTGCCCCCCTCCGCTGCCTCTCAAGCCAGTGGGGTTTTTCCTGGACATTTGTTCAGGTGCCGGGGCCCCATTATCTACAGAGCTGGTCAGTCGTGGCATCTCGTGCTGTCCAGTGGACATTATCCGCGACGGCCCGGCGGGTGACCTCCTCGACGACTCAGTGTATGATCGTTTGGTAAGGATTGCTTCAAGCGGCCTGGTTTCTTTCGCGCACGCGAGCCCGGTTTGTTCCGACTTTTCCAGGTTGAAAAAGGAAGGCGATGGGGGACCGCGGCCCATACGGACCGTGGAGTTCCCCGAAGGTCGTCTTGACCTCACTGCAGATGAACAGCAACGACTGGATAGCAGCAAGCTTCTCCTGGTTCGCTGTGTCTCTATTTTAGATTGTGTTTTCTCAGCAGGAGGGCAAGTCAGCCTGGAACAACCTCGTAACTCTTTGAGCTGGCTCACCATGGAAGTGCAGGAATTCTTGAAGCGCATTTCAGCAGATCTTAATGTCATCCCGGCCTGCTCCGTTGGCATGTCGGTTCACAAACACTGGCTGTTTGCGTCAAGCTGGCGCCCTCTTCAGGCATTGGCCTCCAGGTGTGATCGTCCCTACACTGCTCATGCTGATGTAAAGGGGGTCAAAGACTCCTCAGGCGATTGGGCCTCCAGGAGAACTGCAGAATTTCCGACATTGCTGTCTCAACGCTTCGCTGATCTTATCATGCCAGTGTTTTCCCCGGGTCCAGAGGCCAAGCTTCTATCATGTGATGAGGCGTTGGGCATGGTACCTTGCAAGCCTCACAACGCACTTCCAAGAGCAAATCAAGACGGGGGAGGCATCTTCAGCCTCCCAGACTGGTCATCGCCCCCCCCTGGTCAGTGTGATCATCTTCGCTCGCTGCGGCATCTTTGGACTGAGTGGCTGGCTGCACATCACATTCCGATCCGGCTGCGGCAACATGTCCAACAAGAGTCGGAGGAACCTCTATTTTCTGAGGCGGAGGTGGCCGAGCTTCGCAAGCTGACATCGGCCTGGTTCGCACAGCAGGGCGTTGCTTCAGTTTCTTGGGATATTCCGGAATTTCAGCCCTACTGCCTTTCTGCACTTCAGGCTATCGCAGCTGTTGTTTCTGATAAAGATGATGCGCTTTGGCCCGCTTTGTTGCGTGGTGTCCCGACGGGCATCAACGGCGACATTCCGAGATCAAACGTGTTTGTCCCAGTTCAGGCTGAAGAATCTGTGTGCACTGAGGAGCTCATCATCTGCCAGGAGAACTGGAAGCAGGCTACCGAGCAACCAGAGTTGCTAGCTCAGCTAGTGCAGAAGGAAGTCCAGGAGGGCTGGGTGTTTTCGGTTCCTGACCTTGAAACAGCTCGGGCCAGATGGGAGTATCGTGGGCGGTGATCAGCTGGGCGGCCAGTGGCGGAAGCCACGGCTAATCGTGGACACAACAGTGTCAGGTACGAATCCTTCAGTCACAATCCCCGTGGCAAGCCATCGCAGATTCCCTTAGCAGTTCTCTTCATTTTACCTGCAGCCCGCCCGGCTCGGGCCTGCCGATTGGGGGGAAACTTCTTTCTGCTAAGCACGTGGAATTGCATAGGAAGAGCGATCTCAGGCTGGTGCAAGCTTCGGGCAAGCGTTTGTGGCTGCGTGTAGCAGACCCTCGAACAGAAAAGAGAAAACTGAGCGCAATCAGCGCCGAGTTCATCAAATTCTGGATGCGTTGGGCTATCTGCGCGCCGCGCTTGCGTGCATTGCGCTCGCCTCCATTGGCCTCTCCAGCGTCCATTGCAGCTGATGCCATGGCTTCAGGGAGTACTGTGGGGATTGGCGGGTTTGCCTTGCTGTCAGGCTCAGGACCCCTGCTATGGTTCTCCGAAATCTTTGATGTCCAGGAGTTTTTAGCTTTAGGTCTTCAAATGCAGCTGCAGGCTCAGCGTGACATCACTTGCTACGAAATCCTTGCCCAGCATGCGCTGCTTTGCCTTGTGGCTGCCCGCTTGCCTACAGGTCGTCTTCATCTGCAGCTACCTACGCTTAGCGACAACACGGGATCAGAATCTTCGGTGAACAAACTGTTCTCAACGGTTTATCCCATCTGCATGTTCTTGCAACGCATAGCTGCCTTCAGTGCACTGTCAGGCCTCAGTCTCGAGGTTGCCCACGTGCCAGGTGTGTGCAATGACGATGCCGACATGCTATCCAGGTGGGACGGCTGTTCACCGCTTGCGCCCAAGTGGCTTTTGCAAAACAGAGTGCGTCTCCCGCTGGCCAAGCTGTGGTACTTCCGGTCCGATGTCAAACTTTGGCCTGAGGACACTTCGCTTTTGTGGCAGCCCCCGCTTGATTGAGGTGCTCATACCAAGTTTCCCTCAGGTACAGCCTTGCGTCAGCATCCACACTCGGCTTCTAACTATGCGCGCCTTCGAGGCAGTACCGCTGGCGGTGCGTGGTCGCTTCGGCTTCCCCCGTCGGTGTGGGCTGTCTCAAACGAGGGCTTCAGTTGCAGCTTTGTGCCTGTGGGTCGGTACCGCTGGCGGCGCGCGGTCGCTCTGCTTCCCCCGTCGGTGTGGGCCGGTCTGTAGACAGGTAAAAAAAAAAGGCTGGTCCTGCAAGGTAGTACCGCCAGCGGCGCGTGGTTGCTCTGCTTCCCCCGTTGGTGAGGGCTACTTTTTTCCTGCAGGCTGGCAGTGAAGCTGCGCGGCTCTGGCTGAGACCTCCTAGGTCTGCTTGACACACTGTGCTGTGCAAGGGCGCTGCATCGGTAGCTTTTTCCACTCTGCAGTAGGCTCTGATTAGCTTTGGCAGCTGATGAGAGCTCAGTCAACCTCACACGTTCTTGCATTGGGCGAGGGCGTTGCTTGCATTCGGTCTCCTTCACCTCCTTTCGACTTGGCAGTATCTTACTTGGCGACTGGGCTACGAACTCAGACTGCTGCTTGCAACTTTCGTTCGACCACCAAGTCAAAAAGAGAGAAGGAGTCCGAGTAGATTGCGAGGAAGTTTAGCGCATGCGATATACAAACGAAGTTTTGCTTGTAGCTGAGTAAAGTGGCTGGAGTGAATGTTGTGAACGGTTGTTGTGTTTTACTCAACGGTGTTTACAACTTTGCTACACACTTTCGATGCTGAGAATGTTGCTATGTACACAGCCGCTTTGCTCAGCTGACTGAACATGTCGTGCAGCAGACATGTCACTTCTTTTTTCACCCACCCGGCCCACCCTCTGGCTGGTGGCTGCGCCTCACAGTCATGGCTCTCGTCGTCTGTGCGTCTGTTCTTCTGGGCTCTTAGCCTTAGCATGCTTTTTAGCTTCTGGTTATCCTTTGCTGGTTTTGTTTAGCTAGGCACAGGCGACTGGGCTACGAACTCAGACTG